TAAATAGGTACAAACACATAGGTTTCTATGTGATTAGCTCCTGTACAGTTGGCGTTGACTTGGCCTCAGCCTGTCAAAATCATCCCAGGGCTATTTTTACAGTAAAAGGAGGTCAGCACGTCTGAAGGAAACCAGCCTTCTACCCAAGGCAAAAAATAACGCAGAGTGCCAGATTTTCTTCTCCCCGTAGGTGTAGCACAGAATTTCCAAATGTTGTTTCTCCACAGTGTAGAATGACTTAACCCCCCCCCCAATGATATGCTTTTTTGTCCATGCTCCTGTCACTGCATGCCTCCTGTGCTGCGATTTAAAATGCTTTGTGATCAGGCTTGAGGTAACCAGAGGACACAATACTCAATGTCTTAATAATATGCTAATGAAGTGTCTCACACAGGCACGACTTGGACAGATTCTTTTCTATCCAGGCAGATGCAGCGCCTTTTTCTACCACACACCATTACTTATAACATGGAAGCTTCTGTACAACACCATTATTAAAGGCAATACTTTGTTCTTTGTTATCTAGGAACAACATCTACTATGATAATGTGCATGACTCAAGATGTCTAAATGTGATATGGATTTCAGGTGGTGGTGCTTTTGCTTTATTGTCATTGAGATTCGCAGAAACCCAAATGGAATTGATATCATTTTTTTCACACAAATAGATCTTTCTTTTGGTATTTAACCACTTCAATACCGGGCACTTTTACCCCCTTCCTGCCCAGGGCAATTTTCAGCTTTCAGCATTGTCGCACTTTGACAATTGCAACGCTGTACCCATAAAGAATTTGTATCATTTCTTCACACAAACAGAGCTTTCTTTTGGTGGTATTTAATCACCACTGAGTTTTTAATTTTTGCTAAATAAACAGACAGAAAATTTTGAAAAAAAAAACAAACCTTGCTTTTCTTTGTTTCTGTTATAAAATTTTGCAAAGAAATAACCTTCATAAATTTAGGTTAAAATGTATTCTGCTACATTTCTTTGGTGAAAATAACCCAAATTAGTATATAGTATTTAGTATGTAGGAAAGTTATAGAGTCCACAAACTATGGTATACATATCTGACAATCGATCAATCCTGATGTACTGACGGCCAATCTCATTTTGTGAGGCCCAAAAACGCCAAGATAATACAAATACCCCCCACATGACCCATTTTTGGAAAATAGACAGTCCAAGGTATTTAGTAAGAGGCATGGCTAGTTTTTTGAAGTTGTAATTTTTGGTCGCAATATTTTGGAAAATAAAGAAGTTTAAAACATCTGTTTTTTTTTCTTTACACATAGTCACCAGTCCAGTACAGCATTCTCATATAACTTCTGTGGTGGTGATTAGGGACACTGACTGGCGACACTTTTTTTTATTACATTTTTTTTTTCAACACACTGTGACCAGCACAATACAGTGTTAGCATAGTAACATTGTACTACTCTGGGGAAGTGTTCATGATTTTTTTTTACCAATTAATTTAATTGATATTAGCAACCATTTTTACTGAATTAAACTGATCAATTCAGTGTCTTTTTTTTGTCGTGATTAGCTGTGATTGGCCAAAGCTCATCAAATGGTACAGATGGGCTGTGATTGGCTTTGTCTGTACCATATGATCGCTAAGACCAATCACAGCTAACAACACAATTGTATACAATGGATGGCAATGAAAGGAAGCCATCCATTGTTTACATTGTCATGTGATCTGCTGTGATTGGTCACAGCAATCACATGACACTAGCAGCAGGTTGGTGTAGTGATCAGTCATTGGCTGTGAGCATGAGTGGTGCCTTCTGTGAGGAAGTCATATGATGTCCACTCACAAGGAGGAGCGTTTCACCCTGCCGTCAATCTGCTATAGACCGGGGGGGGGGGGGATGTAAGGTGTTAATCACCAATGGGATTTTTATTTTTTTAATATTTAAAATGAAAAAAAAAAAAAACTGCAAATGTGAAAAATATACTTTCTACTTTCTGTTATAAATCATAAAAATTCTTCATAAATTTAGGCCAAAATATACTCTGCTATATGTCTCTGGTATAAAAAAAATCCCTAGAAGTGTATGTTAATTGTTTTGTGCGAAAGTTATTGCCTCTCCAAATTATGGCATATTTACTGGAATTTACACAGCTATAGACTGCTATACTGGTAATGACGGTGATAAGCGACTTATAGTGGGGACTGTGATAGTGTAGAGAGCAATCTGAAGCTAATGGACACTGGCTGTGAGGTACACTAGCTGACACTAACTTCACTAGTGACACTAATACAGTGATCAGATATAATTCTGTACATTGTGCACTGTATTATTAACACTGGCTGGGAAGGGGTTTACATCAACGGGCAATGAAGGGGTTACAGTGTGCCGAACAGGTGTTATGTGTGCTGCTGCTTTTACTCACAGATCTGGCCGTTTTTCTCTCTCCTGCTTTTCAGGGAGAAGAAACAGCCAAATTGCTGTTCTGTGTACACAGAGTTTTGCGTCTTTGTAAACACAGAACTGTGTGTGTGTGTATGTGATTAACCACAGCCGATCAGCAGTTTTCGGCCTGAAAATCTGCTCACAAACTCGTGTTGTGTCCAATCACAGCAAGGGTCAGCAGGGGACGTGCACATGTACACCCCAAACCCAGAAGAAACGCAGCAACAAACATGTATGTTGCAGTGCCTGCACCTGCCGTCTGTTTGCAGTACATTTACTGTGAGCAGGTCGGCAAGTGGTTACACTTTATGTTCTTTAAAATAATTCAGGATGTTTTTGGAATGAAGGTACTGCACCCTGACCGGCCAAGTTCACCACTGGAACTTCAGTGGTGACATCACCATTAGAGGCTGCATGCAAGTTACCTTAAAGAAGCAGCGGCCACCAGTGAGGCACACATTAGAGGTGGCTTATTGGGTGGGTTAAAACTGCTTTCAGTTTTTTGTGATTTTATTTTTGCCATCTGTGTCATATTAGATGAGATTCTCCTCACTTCCTGTTATATAGATAGTGAGAAGATATCTTTCCAGTTTGAAGAATATCCCCTTGAAAACTTTTGTCACGAGAACAACTCTCCCCATTTTAAGATTTCCCCTCTTTTCCTGTTCTGGTGACAAGTTTTAAATTTTGGGCATTACTTGGAAAAAAAGAGACTCTTCATCTCTCATTGAATTTTATTCTAGAATTGAAGATATGGAAGCACTTAAGGCACATCTAAATAATAATTTGGAGAATCATAATAGGGTTTGGGAGCCTTGGCTTATTAAACAAGACCCACTTTAGCAAGATCCTAATGCCATTCCCAATTCTTTCCTCTTCTACATTCACTAGACTCTTTCCCATTCGCATTCCATTCTGAGTCTTTCCTGTCTTTCAGGTCACTGTCACGTATGCTCTGCTGTCTACCTTGGGATGTGTGACTGGCACACGTGATGGTCCCTCCCTGTTAAATCACTAAACAGAGAGAGGACCTGTGTCTTAGATGTATTTTGTTATACTGTTCTCCACTTTTTTACTGAGTATTGCTGTATATACCAAAGCCTTAGATATTTTTCTTCCATACCTCTCGAAATTTTTGCATTTTTTTCCAAGAAACACTTATTATAACTCAAAAACTAAAAATAGTGCAGCGCTGAAAATTTGACAAAATGACAAAAAAAGTAGTCCACTAAAAGTCTATGTCATATAAACGTATCCAGTGTCAGATGTGGATTCAGAATAGGTGATCCGTGTGGAAATGGCTGGAAAACGCACTCACCAGAAGTAAGCACATAAACGCAGTGTGTATATAAAGCTCATGGATCTTCAATCCAGAGGGAAGTAAAGCTGATCCGGTTACAGGAATGGTGGATCCCTCCTCCGCAGATGCAGCAACAGATCTTCCTTAACACGATTAGATGTAGAATTCCAAGACCAAGGTTCTGCAAGCAAAAGCTCCTCAAGGGAGTTTTAGGGAAGGACACCCATAGTGAAGTAGGTAATAAAAGGCAGCTTTATTCACAATAATGATATCCAATTCAAAGCAGGCAGGTATCATACAGATGTGTCAGCAAGACAACTAACCCTGGTACTAGAATAGTGGCCGCCGGGCCTCCACGTGGCACCGGCGGCGTAGCGTCTCGACGTCAGGCTCCTCCTCGTGTTAAGGAAGATCTGTTGCTGCATCTGCGGAGGAGGGATCCACCATTCCTGTAACCGGATCAGCTTTACTTCCCTCTGTTGAAGATCCATGAGCTTTATATACACTGCGTTTATGTGTCTTACTTCTGGTGAGTGCGTTTTCCAGCCATTTCCACACGGATCACCTATTCTGAATCCACATCTGACACTGGATACGTTTATATGACATAGACTTTTAGTGGACTACTTTTTTTGCATTTTTTTGTCATTTTGTCATTATTTTATCGTTTTAGCGCTGCACTATTTTTATGTTATTGTCAAAACCAGACTGTCAATAATTGTCATTATTTTCAGCGCTGCACTATTTTTATGTTATTGCTTTTAAGTGTTATTGGTTGCTTAGAGTGCCTAGCCGCTTTCAGGATTAGCGCTCACTGCTGTTTCTTTTTATTCATTACTTATTATAACTCACCTACTGTCTAAAACATTTCATGGTTTATTGCAGCTATTTTCTTGATGTGGTATACATGCAATAACTGACCCTCTTTTTAGTTTTTTTATCGCAGAGTGTTGTGCAAAAAAACCTGAAAAAGGTTCAGTAAGAAAAGAAATTGGATTTCTGCCTTTCGTTCCTGGTTACATTTGTTAGCAGGACAATTGGAGAGAGTGAATCCCTTTTACAGGGACTGCACTAAAAGACTGACAGAAGTTTTATCCCCTTTATCACCCTATCAAATTATTAAAAAAAAAAAAAGTTTTAGTTTTGCCTCTTGTTATACTTGAATCATTACCCAAGGGAATATTTAAGTATATTTGTGGGAACAGCGATCCTCTTTTAATGTATTTTTAATTTTGAATTGTTTTATTTGACTAATAACTGTTTCTTTTTGTTTTCTTTAGTAAATCCATACAGTCAAAAGTGGACTGCATTTTGGTGAGTAAGAATACTTTACTACCCTAATAATGAAGTATTTCATTAAATGTAAACTGTATAAAATAAAGTCTTCAAATCAGAATAAGTACACACAGATCAGCTTTGAAAGGGATACTAGTTTTGTGTGCAATTGTCTTGACATTAACAAGCATGTGCAGGTGCAAAAATTACCATAATTACATTTCATATATACCCTCAAATGGAAAATGTGTTTCTTTTAACCAGCATCACCTACCGTTTCTGTGTTCTTTTTGGCTAACTATAGGAATATATAAGTAAATAAAGAAAAATACATTCTTGATGTCCCAATTAAATACACAAAAATCCTTAAATTAGGAAAGAGGGCTATTATTTACCACTTATCAACATGCTATAATGTCCGCTAATAGTTATTGTGTATATATACTGTGAATCAGTCCGTGTGATAAGGAGTTCCATGCATAAAAAAAAATCCAAAAAACATTGCATGTGCTCTGAATCAAAAAACAAAATGTCCTTGCTTCTCTGTGTCCCTACTCCAGACACCACACTCACTGGATATACTTGTCTTATGTGAAAAAAAGAAGTGTTCTTTTTCAGCCAGTTTACCATGCTTTGGGTCTCCATCAAATGGTCATACTACTGGTCACTGATAAGTAGAATGCTTCTCGGTCCCTTTAAGGTCCAAGCTCTTGGTCCACCACCTGTGTGGTCTCAAGGCCCCCTTTTGTCTTTTTAAGGTAAGTAAAATGGGCACTGGAAACCGTGCCCTATGCATTTTGTCATCAGCCTCAGACTCCTGAAGATGTCGCATTCTGGTAACGAAATGTGCAGTGCGGGGCTTCCATTGACGTCACTTCTGCTTTTGGAATGCATGCTGGAGAGAATAGCGATGGTTTTATTTTCACTTTAGAGCTTAAAGGTATTAAGAGGGAGGTGTGGAAAGTCTATGACCCTTACACTGTGCCTCAATGGCAGCTGGGAGACCTTCTGCACAGCCACTTGCCAGAAGTTTTGCAAGGTTTCAATGTCTGAATAATAACTTTTTTCTGCTTTAAAATTTTCTTTTGGAACATGGTTTAGCCTGACTGGCTCTTGTATTTAGATTTTTGCAGGGCAAAAAATAAATATAAAAACACTATGCAATACATTTCCACAAAACATTCCCATTTTCACAATCTTTAGCATATACAAAAAATACCTCTTCATATGCCAGAAATGCCCTCATCTCTTGTAAACTGACAAAACATTGGGGTAGAATTTACTAAAACTGAATTAGACAAAGTCTGGAGCAGCTGTGCATTGTAACCATACAGCTTCTAACATCAACCTGTCTGTATAAGCTTAAAACATGAAAGCTAGAAGCTGATTGGTTGCCATGCATAGCTGCTCCAGATTCTGTCTGCTCCAGTTTTAGAAAGTTCCTCCCAAAATCTTTTTCTGGACTGCAAGGTGTCATCTTTGCTAGCTGTCTTTTTTAAATTACTGAATCCTTCCTATTGTCCCCATCTCCAACATACAATAAAGCTGAGTTTATTTCTGTTAGTTTAAAAGAACCTAAATTACTTAAAGCCAGACTCTAGGATGTAAAAAAATATCCATTTTACTTACCTGAAGCCATAGTCGCGTGATGGTCCTTCTGTCCTCTTCTTTTTAATTCCTGGGGTCCTCCTTGGGCTGTCCACATCACTGTCTGTGGATGTTTTATATTAGTAGAGGGGACACTTGGAGTGTCCGATTCCACACTCAGGCTCCAGATTGCAGGAGAACTCATGGGGACAGTGAAGGGGGCCCAGTACACAAGAAATATAATACAAACTCTAGATATCCCCGCGAAAAGTATCACTCTCACCCTTGAAAGTGCAAACAAAATATACATACAATCTTTTCGATAATCCCTCTACCACCCCCGAACCGTGCAACAATATATCAGCAAATGTCCACATATGAGTCCATGTATAGTGCTTTTCAATATATAGTGTTTTCAAACGTTGGAGACTCCTTCACTTTGCTGTTTTTCAATCCAGGAACCTCAAATAAGGATACCTCAAAAAAATATAAACTTAATATAGTGCATTATCTTTAAACAAAGAAACACTCGTGAAAAACCACACGTGAGAAGCTACAAGTGATTCCTCCTACATGACAAATCAACACTCCCAAAACCAAAAAAGAGTGATGAAGTGCAAACACTCCACAACCAGTGTCACCTTCCAAAAGTACTATATGCCATTACCCTCTCATAAAACACACGCATCCAAATAAAATAGTGCCATCTCTCTTGTGATTCAAAATACCATTACCCTCTTCCAATGCAGACCAAGCAAAGATTCCTTCCGGGCAATCCAAAATTTCTCCCTCACCGGAAGCTTCCTATTGCTTCCAATTCACCTTCCCCGTTCCTCAAAGGGGCAGATAGTAAAAAGGCTCAGTGGAGTATATAAAAGGGTATCACAATTTTATTCATATCTTACATAGATTACGCCAGCGTCCATCCTCTCCCACAGTCCATATAACTGAACTCTAGTCTGCAAGATGGCCGTGCCGCTCCTTCCGGTTTGAGATAATACTGTTACATCCTTCCATACCTGACGCGTTTCGTCACTTCCGACTTTTTCACAAGGGTTCCCTGTGAAAAAGTCGGAAGTGACGAAACGCGTCAGGGACGTAAGGACATAACAGTATTATCTCAAACCGGAAGGAGCGGCACGGCCATCTTGAAGACTGGAGTTCAGTTATATGGACTGTGGGAGAGGATGGACGCTGGCGTAATCTATGTAAGATATGAATAAAATTGTGATACCCTTTTATATACTCCACTGAGCCTTTTTACTATCTGCCCCTTTGAGGAACGGGGAAGGTGAATTGGAAGCAATAGGAAGCTTCCGGTGAGAGAAATTTTGGATTGCCCGGAAGGAATCTTTGCTTGGTCTGCATTGGAAGAGGGTAATGGTATTTTGAATCACAAGAGAGATGGCACTATTTTATTTGGATGCGTGTGTTTTATGAGAGGGTAATGGCATACAGTACTTTTGGAAGGTGACACTGGTTGTGGAGTGTTGCACTTCATCACTCTTTTTCAGTACACAAGAAGATAACGGGTGGGGAAAAATTGCCTGGCAGGAAATTAGTTTGGTTGATGGAGGAAAACTGTGACTTTGATCCATTACACTGTGGAATGGTATAGGCAGAGGTGTCTGAAAGCACGACTGAGGAGTAAGGTAACTGATGTACTATACACTACTTACATTTAATGCTCTCCTGGATTTGACCTTTAAAACTGCTTTCTGTTCCTCATAGTTTCATCATGGTGTGTTGTGACTTGGAAAAAGAGGCACTGCCATGCAGTTATATTAGTTTTAGGCTACATGTAACATGAAATTGCAATTATCATCACAGAACCAGGTGGCAGAGAAAAGCAAATAAAAATGTCATGAACGGGGATAAAAATACAATTGATAAAATTGCTGTCATTTTGTGCACATTTATCCATAATGAGACCCACCCACCAAAGCCCTGAGACCTCAGAGTCTCCTTGAGAGAGTATTGCATTATTAGGAAATTTATCCAAGCTGGTTCTTAAAGGCATAATACAGTTAAAAAAAAGTGTAATCTAGTTGTGGGTGGCAGAGTATGAAGTGTGAATCCTCACTGCTGGCTTGTGAGGCTACTGGATTTACCAGGTATAAGGGTATTTGCATGCCAGCACTATGTTTCTAAATGCTAGGCCTCTCCTGCTTCACCATCTTTACAATTGCATCATACTTTTACCATTTAGATCAGCGCTCATGGTAAGGAGAAATCAGTGGTTGTATTTCTGTTTGCTTGGAACTGTTTTAATTGAGGATAACTAGGAGTTAATGTGTTTCTAAAGGCTGAAGATTTTTACCTTCATGATTCTATGCATAAAGAAAAAAACCTTCAGTGTGCAGTTCACCTGCATCCCTCATTACGTTTATCTGAGCTCAGTCTCGATCCAATGATGTGCACAAGAGTAGCATCTTGCCTGGGATTCTCTCTCCTCATTGGCTGAGACACAGCATCAGGAGCCATTGGCTCCTGCTGCTGTCAGTCACAGCCAGCGAGGGGGGACGCGACTGACCTACACTCTTGTGTCCCCCATAGGCACACACAGGCCACTTGGGAGGGAGCACACATTAGTATCCCCAGAGCAAGCAGCTTGCTTATGGAGCACTTGGCAAGGAGAAGGGGCCTAAGAAGAGGAGGATCATGGCTGCGATGTGCAAAAATATTACACAGAGCAGGCAAGTATGATGTATTGGTTATTAAAAAAAAAAAAACAAAACAAGCCTTTAATAGCATGTTAAAGGCAAATAGACTGTGCACTTTGCAAGTGCACTTTTTTCAGAGCTTAGTAAATGAGGGGATGCTCTGCTGACTTCCATCATCAAATTATGTGCAAGCAAAAATACTGCTTCTTTATTTTTCTTGCATATGGTTGGGTATTCTTTGCAAAGTGGAGTTTCACTTCATTTAGTAAGCTCTAGAGCAACTGCACTTGCAAAGTGCACAACCGGCTTGCCTTAGCAAATCAGCACCAATGAGTAAGGGCTTATATCACCATAAATGCATAAGCATGGACACATTGCTAATTTTTTAGAGCAGAGCCTTAAAACGGCAAGATGTAACATGCTCAGTTGGGTATGTATTACTAGAGAGGTTTTTTTTTTTTAAGGAGACTGCATGTGATCAGTACAGAGCCAATCTGCACTGTCCATACTGTCCATAGGGTCAGGGGTTATGCAGCCTCATAGGACAGTCAGAGGAGAGTGAAAATTTCTCCTACAAGCTTTAATCAGTGCTCAGCGGGGATACTGATAGAAGTCAAAAGACTGCTGTAACTGCAGGTATTTGGCAGTGTATATTTACTAAAATAATTGCGTTTCCGTGTTCTTTGTACTGTGGGAGACCAAATATAGCGAATGCAGGGCCCTGGGTTTAGTGACACTTTAAATGTTATTATGTTAAAAGGAACATGCAGCTTGTCCTGGCATTTAACG